TCACCATTTATTTAACCAGACCACTCTTGAGGTATATTTAGATGGTTACTTATATTATTATAATGCAAAAGTTTCCTAAAAGCAGATTTTCCAGGTCAAAAAGTAAATACTAATATGATTTTACCATTTTTTTATTATAGTAAAATACACATAACATAAAATTTACCATCTTAACCATTTTTAAGTATATAGTTCGATGGCGTTAAATACATTCATAATGTTGTATCTAAAACTCTTTTCTTATAAAACTGAAACTTTATACTCATTAAACAATAATTTCCTATTTTCCCCTTTCCTACAATCCCTGGTAACCACCATTCTACTTTCTGTCTCAATAATTATGAATACTTTAAGTATCTCATATAAGTGACATTCCTCATGTAGCATTTGTCTTCTTATGACTAGTTTATCTCACTTAGCATATTGTCTTCAATGTTCATCCATACTGTAGCATACGTCAGCCTTTCACTTTCAATCCATTGTGTTTTTGCATGTAAAGTGAGTTTCTTGTAGATAGCATATAGTTGCATCCCTTTTTTTTTTTCCTCCAATCTTTATCTTTGGAGAGTTTAATTCATTTACATTTAAAGAAATTAAGGAGGGACTTCTTTATTCTGCTTTTTGTTTTCCATGTCTTGTTAATTTTTTATTCCTCATTTCCTGCATTACTGTTTTTTGTGTTTTGTTAATTTTTCATAGTGAAATGTTTAAACTCCTTTCTTATTTTCTTTTGTGTATATTCTATAACTATTTTTCTTTGTCTTTACCATGAAAATTACATTTAACATCCTAAAGTTATAGCACTCTAACTTGAATTTATTATACCAGCTTAACCAGAAAACTTTGCTCCTTTACAGCTCAATCCCCACCCTTTTCAGTTGTTGAAGTCACAAAGTTTATACATTATGTGCCTGAAAACATACACTAATTATTCTTTTAAAAGCATCAGTATCTTAAATTATACAGAAAACACAAAGTGGAGATATAAACTATTGTTATTATAATATTAGCTTTTATCATTGCCCCTGTATTTATCTTCACTTATCTTTTCATTTCAACCTGTAGTACTCTCTTGAGCATTTCTTATAGGGTTGGTCTAGTAGTAACAAACTTCTTCAGCTTTTATCTGAGAATGCCTTAATTTCTCTGGCACTTTTAAAGGACAATTCTACAGATATAGGATTATTTTTGACAGGTGCTTATTTGTTTTAGTGCTTTGAATATATCGGCCCACTGCCTTTGAGCTTCAAAGTTTCTAATTAGTAATATGTTGATAATCTTATTTAGGATTTTTTGGTGTGTGATGAGTCCCTTCTCTCTAGCTGCTTTTTGGATTCTCTTTTTGTCTTTCTCTTTTGAGTTTGATTATAATATGTCTTGGAGTGAGTCTCTTTAAATTCATCTTACATATATCATTGACTGGATGTTTATATTTATATATTTCATCAGACTTCAAAAGTTTTCAGCCATTAGTTTTTCAAATATTCTCTCGGCCCCTTTCTCTTCTTCTAGGACTCCAACAACATGTAGGTTGGTCTGCTTGATAGTGTCCCACAGGTCTATTAGGCACTGTTCACCTCTGTCCAATCTTTTTTTCTTTCTATTGCCCAGACTCAGTAATTGCCATTGCCCTATCTTTGAGTTCATTGATTCTTTCTTTTGCCAGCTCAACCACGACTCTGCCTTTGAACCTCTCTAGTTAATTTTTCATTTCAATTATTATATCTTTTTGCTTTAGAAGTTCTTTATAGTTTCTTTTTAGGTTTTCTTTACTTTTATTATTGATATTTCCATTTCGTTCATAAATAATTATATTGACTTTCTCTATGTCTTCCTGAAGTTCTTTGAGCATCTTTAAGAGAGTTGTTTTAAAGTCTTCATCTAGTAGTTCATCCATTAAGTGTTTTTAAGGGGCAGTTTCTGTTGATTTATTTTGTTTTTTCTTTGAATGGGCCATACTTTTCTGTTTATTTCTACACCTTGTGGGGTTTTTCATTGTTGTTGAAAATGGCACATTTGAATTTAATAACATGGTAAGTCTGAAAATCAAATTCTCCCACTTTTCCACATATTTGTGTTTAATGTTCTTATTTTTGTTCATTTTTTTATTGTTGTAAACTTAAAAAGGTTACAGGTGTAAACTTAAGGTATCAAGAATTTTGAGTCTGCGCTTTTTCCTAGGTGTGTCCAGTGACTTTCTAATCCACCACCTCCCCCACATATAGTTGCTTTTGAATGTTTTTAATGCCTGGCTTCCAAAAAGAAAAAAAGAAAAAAAGAAAAAAGAAAAAAAAAAAGAGGGTGAATAAAGGATGCTGGCCCTTTAAATCCCTTGGAATTTACTTTAGCTAAGGGGAAGGGGCTTGTAATAATAAAAGGAGATACCAGGTGTGACAATAATGCTTTCCTTCACCTCCATAAGTGGAAGCAACAAGCACTCATCAGAGTATAGATCTCTGGTATTTGGAGGTCAGGGTCCTTTTTGCCCACCCTGATTCCCGCAAGCAGTATGCAAACTGCTGCATCCAGCAAATGGTAAATCCTGCCGCGTCCAGTGCGACTCTGGAAAATATACCTGAGTGGGAATGGTGGGAGATTAAGAAAAGAAAGAAGACAGAAAACTGGGATCAGGAGGTCCACTGTCTACTGATGGTGGAGAAGTGGTGCAGTTTTATTTTTGCAAGCTGCTTTTTTACAAGAACATACCATTGCTGGCATAAGCAATTTCCCTTAGGCATAGCAACACTATTTCTTCTACTTCTCCGAAGCCACATTTTATCATGACCTTCAACTTGTTTATCTCCCTGCGGCTACATTTGCACCATCTTGTTCTCAGGAAGAATTTGCGGAGGCGAGGCAACCCTTGGTTGCCCTTGCAGACTGCAAGGACCTTGTCAGCTTACAGTCTGCTCTCCATAGGAAACTGCTTTGGGAACATGTGAAGAGCTTCCTGTGAAGGGGCTGAGGGGAGGGGAATGGGTAACTTCTGTACTGAGACCTGTAACTGACAGAAATTTATCACAATTTATTGTCTAACCCCTCTCCTGGAAGTTACAAGACTTCCGTAGACTCCAGAATTCCAAAATATTTATATCAGACATGTTCTACCAATGGAATTTCTATGTAGGTAGAGAGATACATTCCTGGCCTTCCTACACTTCCCAGAATCTCCCAATACTATAGGTTATACTAAATTCTCCATCAGAGGTTTTATAAAAATCATTTAATAACACCAGAAATGTTTGAAAGTGCCTGTTTTCTCATAGACTCACCAATGGAGTATGGTGTCTACCTGGGACCATTGCTAATCTAACAGTAAAGAATGGAATTTCAGTGTGGTTTTAATTTGAATTTATCATTCTTATATATAAAGATGAACATCTTGGTATATGTTCAAGGGCCATATGCCTTTCTCTTTCTGTGAACTATCTGTTCATTTTCTAGCTCAAACCTTTTATTTTTTATGTTTAGTTGATTTTTTTTTTTTAATTCGTAAATCTACATACATTAGGGATATGATTAGGGATTTGTCTCTAATCTAAATGCAACTATTTCCCCAAGTTTGTCACTGTGGTTTTACTTTGTTTATTGCATCTTGCCTTATAACTTTGTAATGTCATCAAATTTATTGCTTCTGGATTTTGAACCATAGTTAGGAAAGATATGCCTTCTCTCACATTAGAGTAGAATTTATTCATGTTTTCATCTATAACAAGTACTTATATTGTTTTATTGTTTATTGTTCATGAATATCTTCTTCATTTGGGGTTTACTCTAGTATTGTATGAAGAATGGATGCAATTTTATTATTTTCTTTATGGCTCTCCTATTAGGTAAATGCTTCAATTCAAAAATACATTTTCCCCTAATGTGTTGAGATGACTTCTTTATCATATGCTAAATTTTCATGTGCAATTTTGACTATTTCTGGATTTTCAAGTCTATTTCATTGGTGTAATTTTTTCACTTCCTGACCCTGCCCCTCACATTAATCCAGGGTAATTTATTTTTGATCTCAGAGTCAAAGCAAGGAGCAATACCGATTAATTTATTTTGGGATATTTTTGGCTTCTGGAAAACTAGATTTGAATGCAAACTCTGTGTTACTTTGTCTCTGACCTTAAACACATTATTTAATATATCAAAGCTCTCAAATCCTCCTCTTTAAAATGGGAATGATTTACAGAATTATTGATGATTACTTATATAAAGCATTTACACAGAGTAAGCTTTAATAATTGGAAGCCATGCTGTTTTATTCTTGTGGTTATTGTTTGGCCAAATGTGTTTATTCTATAGTTATATAACTTGATGTCTATTTTTCTTCACTTTAGGAAAAATAATGTTGCAGTATACAAAGAATAATGATACAATTGAAGGAAATTTCTGTAACAAATATATTTCTACTCACTAAAATGCTTGCATTTAAGAAATATCCTCTTTAGACATTAAAGTATCATCAAAATATATTATGTAATATTTTAAAATATTTTTATGTAATATAATTGATGTAGTTAGTTTGATACTTGAGAAAAATATTTGCCCGGCTAGAACAGAATATGCTCATTTTAATTTCCAAACATCTTGATATTTGGTAAAAATTAATACTCATTGTTTATTACAAGATATTTTGAGAAACCATGCAGGCTATAATTAAGATTTATGCACCATTAAAATACAATTTTAGAATTCAAAATTTGCTCTCTCCACACCTAATACCTCTTTTCATGTGATGAAGTTTTAAATAATTAAAGAGCGCTCTTAATAAAATATATTTGCAAAAATCATCCAAACAAGACACATTTTCCATCGTTTTACTTATAAACAAATTAATTATATACCAAATTTGCATCTGCTTTCCCTAGACTGCATAATTTTGAAACTTAATTTACTAATGAAATTGCGATTTTATCCCTCAGTTAATGAAGGGAAATAGATAAAGCAGATACACATATTACTAATTGTTCTCAATTATATGCTGAAATCTCAATGTCTTCCAGGGACTCCTGAGGATTACCCGCGATTTTTCCATATGCATCCTAGGACTGCAGAACTTAGTCTCCTGGAGCCAGTAAATAGAGATTTTCACCAGAAATTTGATTTGGTCATTAAGGTAAAGTAAACTAATTTCTTACTTCCTTGTATTTATAACTGCTAATCAAAGAAAACTGTAGAGGCTACTGTAGATACTTTAATGTTATAAAAATTAAAATTAATTTCGACAGCAATTAGTCAATTTTCCACTATAAAAGTGAAGTGCAGCAATTTTACTACATCATTGCTTTTCTTTAAAATAAACTTTTATATTACAATGTGATTCAAATACTGAATATTTTATATGTAATAAGTGCCCTAATCTAATGTATATAATTCTGAATTCTATTCTTTATTACATCTTCTAATAGTTCATCTTTTTCACTAAAAGGAATTTTATCTGCAAAAGCTTAACAAATGAATATATTTAAAGATGCATAGATTTATAATTTTATTTTAATAATGTATTCTTTTTTAAATGTTGTTGCTCTTTCTAACATAAAAAGAAAAAGAAAATATCTTGCTTGTCCAGAAATTTTTATATGTCTTTTTTTTAATTTTTCAAATGGTCACAACTGAACCTGATTGCTGGTGGTGAATGGAAACTTTCCAAAAACTTCTGTGAAGATGAAAGATATCCAGCCCTCAATCATTCACTGAGATTTTGTGAAAGAGAGCTGTCATTCCTCTATTTCAGCAAGCATTTGATATATAGAGTAAATTAGTCATGCACTAATCAAATGGAGGGGTGCAAATAAGGGAATAATTTAAGAACCAAAGCCATGTCACGAATGGGCTTATTATAAAAAGATATATAAGTATAGTCCAAAAAATCAGGAACTAATTCAAACCAAAGTTTTATAAATTGTAGAAACTTTGTAATCAAATATTTATGTCTCTCTCTGCCTTGTTTGAAAAATTAAATTATTAAAAGCAAATATTGTAGCAAATAAATTCTCATGTATCTCAAGAAAAGTTATATTTCATTTTAAAAAAGCTATAGAAAAGCTTTTCTTTAAATTAAACTTACGGAATATTTTTTAAAATTTAAAAGTGGAAAGAAAAAGGAAGTAAGGAAGGAAGCTTACTGAGAATGTATATTGTACAAGGTGTTTTATGTATATTTTTTCATTAAATTATAGCCATAACCTTAGTAGTATGCTAATTAACACTAAAGCTCAGAAAGAGTAAGTGATTGGCTCAGAGTTACATTATTAATAAGCAGCAAAACTCAGATTTAAATTTAGATTTTCATCTAAGCTAAAGCTGTGCTCTTTTCACTTCACCAAGATGCATTTGCTTAGAAATAATAGGTTGTCTGGATTAACTATCTGTCAATGCCACTGTAAACAATATATAGACATGGATTTAATTTTACTGCAAATTAGGGGATATTTTATTAGCACCAATTATATTATACATACCAGATCCTGTGCTTATTTAGTGTTCCTCTGTCATTATGCAATTTGTAGCCTAGAATGGGAAAGAGATATATAAGCCGATAAATCAAATATAACACATTGACTGCTAACAGAAGAACATATAACAAGTGCTGGTGAAGCGCAGAACAGGCACATTTAAATTAATCTGGGAACTCAGGGAAGATTTCTGGTGATTTCCCCAAGTTAAATTTTGCTATATTAGAAGGTTTGGCCAATGAATAAAAGAGGGAAATATGTTTGAACATAAGGAAGAGCAGAAGTAAATATTTGGAGGCATGATGTAGCAGCTAGAAGCAGTTAACAGGGTAATGAGGTATGGAGCCAGACCAGTTTCTTTGGATTTTATTCAGTAAGGGCATTGGAGTCATTTAACAAAGAAAGATTCCTTTTACCATTTGTTTATAATGGTCACGCATGAGATTCATCTTCATGCATCGACTACATCATTTTTTTTTTATCATAGGGCGATATAAAACTCAAAAATGTGTATCTATTGTCTACTGTCTATCTACCTGGAGCCATGTGGTGCTTCACTCAGTGGGAATTAGAAACCTTGACAAAGCACTATTTCAAACCTGCCTCATTTGAAACCTGAAATTCATTATTTTCCTTTATTATCAAATTCAAGTATCCTAATATAACTTGGTTACAGTGAAACAGTCCATCAATTATAGAAACAAAAATCAGTTAAAATAGGCTATATTTTTTTTATTTTTAATAATACCTTATATTATTAATAAAAGTTTCTACAGACATTATTAGATTAAAATTTTGCATTTTGCGTGCTGTCAAGAGGATAATAAGCAAAGATATCAATCTTTAAGAATAATAATGTGTCACCTGCTTGAATAATAGCTTAATATTGTGGCTTTGTATAGGGGTCCATTGAAATGCTACGATCTGGCAGTTCTCTTCTGTAGTAAGCTTTTCACCCTCTTCCCTTGTTCTTATTTTAATAATGCTTCATTTTTCATTGGCCATAAAAGTTTTTATTGGACTCGATCCCAATTTCTGTATCGAAAGCTAAGGAAAAATAAAATGAAGTATCTTCTCTTAAACTTTGAAGAAGAGTTAATTCTGCTTTAAAAAGCTATATGCACATTAAACCCCTGGTGATTGTCATGAATTAGAAATTTATCATTTTCATTTTATCTATTTCTGCCAGTGATTTATTCACTAGACTGACAAATAAAAATATAAAAGTGAAGCTCGAAAGACAAAATGGAGTAGTTCACCAACTTTAGAATATAAATTTTTAAAATGCCAATTAAAAGAGGAAAAATGATTCATATCAATCATTATTCCAAATTTTAAATAATTGTAATCACTTAATTACAACTTTAAAATAAAATGCACATTTTAAATAAGACTCAGCACTTAGTTTGCCCACTATAGTTGATATTTATGCCTCTTGGCCTTGTATAATTATTCATAATATTTCTTTACTCTCAAAAATGCCCCATTTTAGATAAACAGTTATGTGATCACCATAGTTGTAAAGCAAAAAACAACTGTGATATAGAAATGTGAAATCACATTTTCGATTCTAGATAATAATGAATTAGATCATGCATGGAGTGTCTATAACAAAGCCCAGAAAATTCACCTTAATTATTATAAGTGTAGTATTTATTAAAAATGTTATTAGTCGATATATTTTATAGTCTGGGAACCTAATACAAAGATTAAATGGATAAATTATTATGAATTCACTGTCTCTCAGTTGCTCAAACATAATTGTATTTTATATCTAAATCTTTTTGATAAACAACTATAGCAAGGGTCACAATGATATCATAAACATCATTGTATTATGATCTTTTTGATTTTCCTCTTGTTTCTCATTCACCCACTCATATTGTCCATCAGGCTAACCTTTAACTTCTTTTCTTTCCAACATCATGGCCACATTAAACCTTAGCTCTCATCAGTCATTCTGCATACTTTCTATTCTAGCCGTAAGAGAGGACTTGCAGGGCCCTAAAGTCTCCATACTCTTTCTGGCTTCCAGATATTTACAGATGCTCTCCCTCTTCCTGAATCATTCCTTCCTTTCCTTATCAACAATGCAATTCACATTCATGATTTGTTGATGCTGCAGATGCTAAAAGGATACTTTCTATGAAAGGGTGTGACCATTGAATGGAAGCCCCTCCTCGCATCCTGCTCCTCCCTGTGGTTGCTCTGACTTCTATATTTAGTTTGCCTGTTTATTTCCTCCGGACCTTTAGAGGAGGGAAGATTGTAATGTATTTCTTTACATTGTGGCCCAAGCCCCTACCTTTATGCATGTGTAGTACATAGAAGGTACTCAATAAATATTTGTTGTAATTGTTTTCTGGTACAGCAAATATTATAAGGCTGCTGGATTTGGTTACCTACATTTTCATTGTATTTAAATATATACATTTGAAAGTGTATGTATTTTATACAATTTTATTTATGTCTCTGTCCAGAATAAAGATACAATGAACTTCATAGATAAATTCAATCTCTGGAAAAAAATGCCAGACCTATGGTAAGGCATAGTGTAAAGCCATGTATTGAGTGCATTTTAATACAATTCTCTTTTTTTCTAAAAAAAAATATATATATTCAACATAGAAAATGAGCCACAGAATCAAAACTAGTGATTAAATATTAGTGCCATGTGCCAGTTCTCCTGGCAATTTACTTTGCTTTAACTTGAGAGACAAAGGACAACAGCATCTGAGAATGATTGAGGCCTAAGAGAACAGCTACTACAATCCTTGATCATATGTATGAATCTCTAATGCCACAATACTAGAAAATATTTAGCTTCTATTTGAATAATAATCTCAATTATACTTACTTCACAGGGATTCAATGGAAAGCTCAGGTTCACTGTTTTTAAGGCATATGGCATTTGCTAGTTTTCAGTTTGCCAGTTTTTTCTGAGAGTTTATTAGGTGCCTGACATTTTGCTCTCTGTTGAGAAGGCAGAAATCTATGAAAGCTCTGCCTCAAGGAAATCACAAGTATGGAAATTATGCTTTCAGAATTATTTCCTTTCTGAATTCAACATTCGTATTTCTAATTACTGTTTGTATAACTACTTTAAGTATTAAGCAATTGCATCAAATTAAGAATGTGGTAAACTCTATATGTCCTTTAAAAATCTTAAGCCTTCTTTCTTTCAATTAATAATATTGCAATCAGCCAGTCACCCAAACTGGAAGCTCCCAGTTCCTTTTAGATATCTGTCTCATATGTCCCTATTCAGTCACATTTCAAGTCCTTTCCAGATACCTCTGGAAATTCTCTTGAATCTCTCTCCATTCTCCATGTTCACTGCAGTTCTCTAGTTATCTTCCTCATGGCTGCCCATCATCACACATACATCTCTTCAACTTTAGCCTGTTTTCCTTGCATCCTTCCTATCTCCCCACATTACCAACAGAGTAACGCCTAAATAAATAAATAAATAAATAAATAAATAATGGTTATTATGCTCCATATTGTCATGAAGGCATTTGACAATTTGCCCCCCTACATGAATTTCCAACTGAGAACTTTGTAGATATGAAAGATCACAGGTATCAGGGGCAGTTGGACAGAGTAACAAGTCACAGATCATCAGTCATCTCTTCTAAAATAAAAGAGATGGCATATCCCA